CCTCCTCCTCCTCCTCCTCCTCCTGGGATATGCAAAATGCTTTAAAAGAGGAGTAACAAACTGATAGCTCACAATAGGCTTCTCCACAAGGGTCTCCTTCACCAATCATGAAGAGAGAAGTTAATGGCAGAAGGAAGTTTATAATCTACACTGGAATTCATCACTGTACACTAGACACAAATTCCTTTCCAAATAAAACAAAAACAAAGCAGTAAAATAAGGGGGAAATGACTTTGAAAGAAACAAGCATTGGCATTGTGTGTGTGTGTGTGTGTGGTCAGTACTGGGGCTTGAACTCAAGACCTCTCACTCTTGCTTGCTATTTTTTGCTTAAGACTGGTGCTGTACCCCTTGAGCCAACACTTCCACTTCCCAGCTTTTTACTGGCTCATTGGAGACTTAGAGTCCACAGACTTTTTTGACCTGGCTGGCTTTAAACGGTGATCGTCGGATCTCAGTCTTCTGAGTAGCTAAGGATTACAAGGGGGAATCATTGGCACCTGGCCTGCCCAGGGCATTTTCAGAAAAGAATCTCAAAGAGCTCAGATGGGTTTTTTTATGCTAGTTTATTCAACAGAAAGGAAATTGACCAGATTGGGTTTGATGCCTACTTTACCTCATCAACCAGGCATCTGTTATTCTAGCAGATAAAAGCAAACACAAGAGCTTTCCCCTAGTCTGCCACCAACAGGGTCCACATTGCTTGATTCACAACAGAGTCTTCTAGGTTTTCTAGTTTGAGAACAAGGACTTGAGGAAGAGCCGTTGTGTTAATGGAGATAGTTGTTGTCTGTGGGGAGAAAGGGATTTTCAGAAGCAAGAGAACTACATTCTGGCAGTGGGATGACAGGCCTAGCTGGAGTCCAGTTTCCTGTCTCAGCTTCTTTCAGAACACCAATTTCATCCAACCTTGGCATTAGTTTTCACTTTCAAAGACAGAATGACCACTTTGGAGGGTGCTCTGCTCACCAGGGGTGACTGACATCTCTCTGGGAGGAGACAAGGACGTTTTAGGAGCCATTGTCTTCTGGCTACGGGTTTTCACCTGAAGAGTCACAGGAACTACACTCATCCCTCCAGAGCTCACAGACTGATAACTGTTCTCAGCAGGGGTCTCTGTCGGAGGGTGCACACGGGCCACCATGGTGCCTGCACTGGTTCCCGATACATGAGCCACGGGGGTCACAGTTTTTGCCCTAGGAGCCTCTGTCTTCCCTCTGAACGTGACAGTGTGCTTTCCAAGGGGTGTTGTATCCCTTCCAGGAGTCACACTTCTATCCCCAGGGACTGGAGTCGTATTTTCGTTCTTCCCATGGCCCTCCATAGCCTCAGCCTCTCCTCCTGGAGGCAAAATCTTCATAGTGTCAGTGGTCGGAGCCTTTGTCACAGCCAGACTTTCAGAGCCCGATCTTGAAACAGTCATAGCAGATGAGTTCTGAAATTGTGGTAAAGAAGTTGTGCTCAAGTCTAGAAAAAAAATCAACAGAAAAAGAGATGAGATTTCTCCCTCTGTCTTATTAACTATTGGCAGGACTAGAACCACTCTGGGGCTGATGTACCTAATCGAATACTGTGTAACTGGAGATTTTCATCGTTCATGTGCTTGAAAGCACAGACAAAAATCCCAGCACATGGAAACCCTGTTTCCCAACCCCATCACAGTAGCAGTGCCAAGCCACGGGTCCTCAAGGGATTTGCTGCATTTCCTGTGAGTGACAGCAAAAGGAGCTGTATCCTGTGCTTAAGCCCTCATTGTGACCTCTCTGACTGAACCACCAATTCTTTGGAAGGCGCAAGGAGAAGGTTCTTGTGTCTCCACATTCTTCGAAACACCAGGAACAAAGCTGAGGGCAAGCAGGCTCTAGATGGCAGGTTACCTAGCTGAGTTCAAGTCCTGTGCATAAAATGAGGATTATAAACAATCTAAGTATCTTTCAGTTCTTACACACTAAGTTCCATCTTCTAACTGCTGGTATGGCCTCTAGTATCAAAAGAAATTATCAGGCTGGGTGCTGGTGACTCACCTCTGTAATCCTTGCTACTCAAGAGGCTGAGATCTGAGGATTGTGGTTCAACACCAGACCAGGCAGGAAATTCTGTGAGACTCTTATCTCCAATTAACTACTAGAAAACTGGAAGTGGAGCTGTGGCTCAAAGTTATAGAGCACTAGCCTTGAAAAAAATACAAGCTCAGGGACAGCCCCCAGGCCCTGAATTCAAGCCCATAACAGAAGAGAGGAAGGAAGACAGGAAGGAAAGAAGGAAGGAAGGAAGGAGGGAGGGAGGGAGGGAGGGA